TTTGGGAGCCGGGAGGGTGGGGGTCTCGGTGTTTGGGAGCCGGGAGGCTGCGGGTTACGGTGTTTGGGAGCCGGGAGGGTGGGGGTCTCAGTGTTTGGGAGCCGGGACGGTGTGGATTACGGTGTTTGGGAGCCGGGAGGGTGCGGGTTAAGCAGCTGGTGGCTCTGGCTGGAGGGGCAGGCGGAGGGCGGGGGTAAGGTGTCAATCAGGAGCGGGGCGCCGACCCGGGATTTCGCCTCTCTCCGGGACACAGATATTTAACCTGGAGCCGGAGGCTCGGCATCAGTGCGGCTGCAACAGGAGGCAAGGGGTAGAGACAGGACGCCCCCCCAGGATCAACACCGGGATCATCCCAGGATCAACCTGGCATCAGCACCGGGATCAATCCAGGATCAGCACCGGGATCAACCCGGCATCAACACCGAGATTAAGCCGGGATCAATCCCGGATCAGCAGTGGGATCAATCCTGGATCCTGAGCGGGATCAGCGTTAACAATCTCGCTGCCGGTAGAGCTGGGGCCGGGCGAGCCCGTGTGCCCCGGAGTGGAGCCCAGGAAGCGGGCCGCCCTGGGCCGGAGCCGCCGCGCTCTCTCCCGGGCTCCGGGCCGCCTCTCACTCCGGCTCCTGTCATCCCGTCTAGACAGCTTGTGGCAGTGAGTCCTGGCGTTGCCATGGCGACAGGCAGCAAGCCGACGTGAATTTTGGGGTAAAGAATCTGGAAAAAGCCCGCTTTTCTGGTGCTTTTCGCTTTCCGGAGGTGGATCGGTGGGAAAAAAAAAGCGAGGAGGGAAAAGAAGGCGAGAGAGTGAAAAGTGAGAGAGTGAGGGAGAGGCTGCGAGAGACAGCAGCTTAATCCGGCAGCAAAGTTAAACCTCAGCACGTCCTGTACGTGCCCGTCATTCAAAGCCCAGTGTGTTCTATTAAAAGTATCAGTCTGCTCGCTTTGCTGCCTATTTATAAACCTCTGGGCTCGCCGAACTGGCCCGTTTAAAACATGGAGCTGCCACAGTATATGCTAAGCTGCTTCTGCATGCTGCTACTGCAGCACGGACTCTGCCAGCCTTATCTGCACCTCCGGCCCGTCCCCAGTGACAGTTTGCCCGTGGTGGACATTATCGAACACCCGGACCCAGACAACGATCCCAAGGACAACGATCTGGACGAACGGGCTTTAAGGAAGAAGCTCGGCAGTCACTTCGATCCCAACTTCATGTCCATCACCCTGCCCCAACTGGACGACTCTCCGTCCCGGGACCCGAACTCCAGGTTCAAACCTCTGGGCGCCATGCCCAACGACATCAAGAGGTTGGATTTGTCCGAGACCCCTTATGGGAGGAAAATGAAGTTGGGTAAAAAGGCCAGAAGGAAGTTCCAGCAATGGCTTTGGTCCTACACATACTGTCCGGTGATGTACACATGGAAGGACCTCGGAGGCCGCTTCTGGCCTCGGTTTGTTAAAGAAGGCAACTGTTACAACGAGAGGTCCTGTTCATTCCCCGAAGGGATGCTGTGTAAACCTGTCAAATCCATTAGCAAGACTTTCTTAAGGTGGTATTGCCAAGGATGGTCAAAACCCAAGTACTGCACGTGGATACCTGTCCAATACCCAGTCATTTCCGAGTGCAAGTGTTCCTGTTAAAGGGAGAAATGTTCTCATGCAGACTGGGTGAATCCTATATACAGATGGTCTATAGTATAACAGCGCCCTATAGTGAAATCTATTTTTATATATCGCATTCTAAAGAAGCGCCAGCTTTGTATCTATATAACACAATGAGATTTAAAGTTGCAGAAAATCATGGTTTTTTTGGGGGGGGGGAGGTGGGTGAGGGTGGGTTGGGGAAAATTGACGGACCATAATGAAGCTCCACTCAGAGGGAAGGGATATTCGCAATCCACACTGCGGGCTCTGACCGCTGACTTTGAGAACTAGCAGCAGCTCCGAACAAGTCTAGCCTGGGTTTCCATTCACTGAATCCTAATAACTGCCTTTAATGCCATGTGCCTAGTTTTTTTTTTGTAAAATAATAATAATTATTATAAAAAAAGTTGAGGTGAAGATATTACAGAGTGAAATCTCAGCTTTCCAATACAATATAGGAGTGTAGAAGAGTAAAATCTTGTGTCCAATTATTTATTACTTTAACGTTTGTTGATATAAATGTAGATGATACCGTGACATTTGGAAATGTTTACTTGAATATTCTTTCTAAAACAAAACATATCAATGTAAATATAATGGTTCAATGTTTTTAGCAATAAAATCTCATCTTTGAAACAAAAAGGTTTGGAAATCTGACAGCATTCAGAGCCTTGGCTTCTTTGGGTGCGAGAGAGTGCTTCTGCTGCAAAAGAATAGAACAGTCTTCATGATCTATCTGAGCGGAGGCAGCCCTTCATCATTTCAGTCATTCGGAGCTGCCTTTGAAACGTCCCGTCCCTGCACCCTTCACAAGCCGCCCTGTCGGGAATGTGTACTAACTGTTCCATCTGCAGCTTTAACAAACTTTAAGTGACTGTGTCCCCCACACAGTTTTCTAAATGAGATCACAGGTAATGAACAGTTACAAAAGGTGCCTAGATTCCAGTCACGGAAGCTATGTGTTCACTATAAAATCGCATGTGAAGCTGGTTGGTAGTTCGTCTATCAAGTAAACGCTGTCTAGGGAACTTAATATCAGTTGCAATAAACAGTACAAAGAGGTTTGTTTTATACAAGATAACGGTATTGTTTCAAAGCCTATTCGGTTGTAGGAACTTTGGTTTAAAATTTGGAGAATAGAATAATTGCAGCGTCCATCCTGAAAGGGGGAAGCTCGGGGCAGGTCTGCGGAGATCCCGGCATAAACAGGTGAAAAAAAAATCAGACTACTTAAAAAACAAACAAATCAAAAAGATGTTTTTAATTTGGAATGTGTCCAGCAGGATTGGGGACACGTTGTCTGGGCATCTGAGTGGGTTACCCCTCCCCCCTCGCACACAAACACAGATATTTATACAGCGATGCAGCCTTGTCTCGAACTTACTTGCTAAGAAATGGTGTTGAAACTTTACAGGCCGCTTTCACTGGACTAAATGGATAAGGAGTGGGGAACAGCACGGAATGGAATAGGCAGCTGATAGGAGCGCTTTGCTCTGTCTGCTCCCTCGGCGTTTTTCCAATCTCCAGCAAGCCCAAACACTGCAACTGTTATAAGTGGTGCTCGCTAACAGACTTGAACGCGGCTCGGCTGTTTTCTGAGGCGCCGCTTCGTGACTTGTTGCTCAGACTGGAACTCATTCTGCGAATAATTTCGTCACATTGCTAATTTGAAATGTATGTTCAGACTGAGATTAGACCTGATCCTGATTACAGCAATCACTCGCTGTGCACTCCTTTTCACATAGCTAAATATAATTATTTATTTATTAAAGAAAACTTTTTTTGGGACGCCAAGGCGCGCTGCCAGTTACTGCCGAGAGAATCCTCATACAGGTTTTCTTTCTGAGGGAGAGTCTAGTGACGCCTGGTATTTCTGGGACTGTGAAAGGCTCTCTGATGTATTACGGCGTTGCAAAGCCCCTAGCTTGATCCCTGTGTGCAGTTGGATTGAGAGTCTCAGGCTGGGCTACGAGCAGATGCTGTCGGCTGACTCATAGGCGCCGCTCAGCCGCCCCCTCTCGACAGCTCGGAATGTAGCACTAAGACCCTACACACACAAAAATCTATTAACCCCCTCCGCACCTTTCTCACACAGCCTTTCCACCGTTGATAACTCGGGGCTCTCATCTGGAGTTATAGTCAATAAATGTGTAGTTCCTACACTCCTGTTAACTGCATCCGCTCAGGAACTTCAGCATTCGGCCAGATGTCAAAGGGTTTTCTAAGGTTTTGGAAAATTCAATAGCTCCATTTTTATCTGTTTGCAATCTGATTATCTGATGTGACATCTCGAAGACGCTGCGGCGGAATGATTAACATTCTCTTTTTCATGTGAAACAGAAAATTTAAGTTTAGACAAAACAGCCAGGCTGGCAAGACTCATCTGCGTTATTGTACGCCTCAATATTTTCTGTTTATTGATTGGCGGGGAGTGCACAGATAGCTGAGGGGAGCAGTCAGTCGCAGTACGACTGCCTTAGACCTTCAGCGCTCTAACACCCCATTGAAAAGCAGCTTTATCAGCTAGACAGTTCAAACCCAGTCTGACTCCTATATCCCGTTGGTTGTGAAGTAACGGCATGAAGTGGGATTGACCCAATGTTAACCTATTTCCTAGTGGGCATGTTGCCACTGTGCAAAACCTTCCCTAATTTAGCACTAAAATGATATTCCTATTCAGAGAGGCCCGAGGAGGGCTGTGAAATGAATAAAAGAAATCACATTGGTGTTATGGGGGCGGGGAGGCACATTGAAGAGATGTTGCTGAGGTATATTGTTCTTGGCAGTAAAGAGAGCTTTATTTTGTATCTTAACCCTGTGTTGTACCTGCCCCATGAGTGTTTGTAGGAACAGTGCAAAGGGATCTTTACTCTGTACCTAACCCGCGTTGTACCTATTCCGAGGGTTTTTGGAGGACCAATGTAGAGATTTACACTGTATCTAACCCTGTGCTGTACCTGCGTGGATGTGTGTGACGGCGACAATGTAGAAGTAGCTTTACTCTATACCTAACTCACGCTGTACCTGCCCTGGGAGTCATACATTGAGACAGCAGTTCTTGAAATGAAATTTTCTTCGTTCTCCTGCACTAGCAACTCTCACTGTAAAGAAGACAAAATTCTAGGCATTTGGCGCTTTACTTCAATGCCGAAAAGTGATTTCACTAATAAGTCAAATAACGTTGTAACGTGTTTGCTGACAATAATAATTGATCAAACTTTGTATTATGCTTCATTAAACCTTTCGTCCTTTAAGCTAGTGCTGGAACAGCTTCTTTTCAGTGATCAAAAATAAGCAGATATCTTGATTAATGAGACAGCTTTAACTGACATGGTGGGAGTTGAAGTATTGTTTTGATTTTGCATGCTCTGTTGTAAATAATTTTATGTCATTTATGTAAACTCATGTCCTGACCTTCGCTGAGAACTGAATGTGAAAGTGACCTATGCCTGACACAAAGGTCCTGAGTTAAGTCCCATGCTTTGTTGTTGCCTTTGCTGTGGGTGTCTGCAGTAACTTTCAGTGATCCTGGGCCATTGGGAAATTAACCAAGGTAGTAGATCCTGCTTGCTAAATTCACAAATTTAAGGTATAATTCAACTGAAAATTTTCACAATTGAGTTACTACAATGTCATCACTGACAATGAAATCTTCAAACGTTCCATAGCTGCAATGTGGACCTGCTTTGTATTGTTTAACATCTAACAAGTATCAATGGAGGTATTTATTCCATAATATTCTGGTCATTGACAAACTTCCACTAAGGCAGCTCCTGATGGAATAAATCAGTCTGTCAAAATAATTAATACTGAACCCCCAAATCTGCAGTCATTGTGGCCCCTAGTGAAGGTAGAATCAGTTTAGCTGTTCCACTCAAGTTCAGTCAATTTTTGTTTTGCTTCATTGATAGATCCCAGAGTTCTTGATCACATGCACACTTTTCTGTACAAACTGTACTTCTATCTTGCCGACAATCTGCCCCAATATATTAAGTTCAAAGCAGTAATAATGTAAAGCAATTTAAATGCTGGAAACTGTTCCTCCACTGTTCATATCAGGAAGAATAAGTAGCTTCATAGTTGAGTATGTCACTGATCCTAATTTCAATTTCTGATTTTGGTTGTTTTATGTCATTAGCACCAAGGGTGTCCATACATAATTGGGCTCAAGCAGTCATATTGTAAGGAGAATCAGATGAATTTCCTGTTCCTGGTTACTAATGAAAGAATCTGATTTGACAGAACTGGTGTCTACATCAGAGGAGAATGAGACAAAAGGTATCTGTGATGTGGACGTTGATCACTCTGTTTTACTCATGGTGAGGCTCACACGTGAAGAACAGGCACTAAGAGGATATGAATGTGCCTCAGCAAAAGTTGCATCTGAAGAGAGGAGGTACAACAATTGGAGCAAGAAGGAACTAAGGATAATTCAGAGTAAGAGCAGGATAATTTCCCCCTTAATAATATGCTAATGGACAGATTGGCTTCTTGTGTTTAAACAGTGTATGTATGTTCTTGATGTAGGGCTTAAAGAAATCTTCATAATGGGGAAAAAACTAGATCAGACAATGGAATTCTTTATCATGGGAAGTCATTTGATCCATTGGACTTATAATAAATGGAAATGATTTGAGATGCAGAACAACTCTGGAGTAATGGATATATGTTTGATCGATTGAAATGCTGTGTATTTACATGCAAATAATTTTGCAGTTAAAAGACTTGGATTGCAAACATATTGACTGTGGCCTAATAAATGCAAACTGACTGTTAGCAGCTTCCAATGATTGACAGAGATAGAGGAAGTGTTATACTACAGCACATGCATGGAATGCTACCATTCATTGAGGAAAATTGCTAAGGACTGAGAGCAGTTTCCAGGGCAGGCAGCTCTTTTTTAAGACATGAGAATTTGCATAGCAGCGCAGTCTACCTGACAATTAAAAAAAAAGCTTTAAAAAGTGGGCTGTGGAATTCTCACACAGCAGTCCATGCCAAGCACCAGCACTGTAATCCTGCCCTTACAGCAAACTCTCTCTGGATGCCAAATCTTTGGTTTCTATAATATCAGCAGCTGTATACTATCTGCATGGTATCAGTGCAGTACTGCAGATGGTGTTGCATTATCACTACAGTAATGGAAGGAGTTTGGTATA